TGGTTCTGTACCTGTTTGTAACGTACATTGATAATAACTTGTTTAATTAAGAGTCCATCCAAAATTTTAATCTGGCACAGCCCCCATGTTAGTGGAGTAATGGCTTTGGGCAGCTACTTTTTATTTTTCCTTGATTATAAATATGTTGACGTAGTGCTACGCTAACTCTAGTGATATATTTTCAGCAGTAATGAAACTCCTTTGAGGTTGTAGGAATCTATGTTGTCGACTGTAGACACTTTCTGAAAATACTGATCCCTAGCCTACTTCACAAATGTATTCTTGTAAAGGATGAGTTTATCCATCTTCTTTTTATCCATCCTTTTGACTCTTGTGCTGCTACAACTTCAGCTGCAGCTTCCCCTAGCAACGCGAGTCATACACCCAAAATGGCACTTGGAGGGGACGTGGTTGACATGCAGGTAACAAGTCAGCCAAAGATCGATAACGGCTCCAAACAAAAGGATGCAATTTCAGCTACAGCTCGCTCCTCTGCTGTGCCAACGGGGCATGCATCTTTCGCTGTCATCTTTTGCACAAATGACCTCATCTGTGTTTGCTGGCTCTCCTTTTGAGTTCGCTTCGAACCAGAAATACTTCCAAACTACAGAAGTTGTGTCGTTTTTAGAAAAGTCAGCTGATGCGCGAGCTGCCATTTTTCTCTCAGTGCGCCATTTCTTCATAAACTTTATGGAACGTCTCTAAAAGTTGGACAAAACATTTTAAACAACTTAAGTAAAACAGAAAATTCAAGCAAACATCCGTTTTATACATAAAATTACCTTTATTTATCTTTTTTATTTTTTTAATCCTTTGCTCCTACGTGCACAGTTTTTTTCATGACTTATTGGAACCGACACCGTTGCTATTTTTTAAACACCGACTGTATATGGTAATACCGCCCAAGCCTAGCCACAAGGTCTGACCTGCATAATGAACATGCTTACTGCAAAAAAATCCTTCTAGTCTATAGGGTACATCTTCATTTTATTACAAGCTTGACTTTTCTACACAGGATTTCTTGATAAATGTGTCGTTATACTTAACCTCCAGAAGATGATTAAACCTCCGAGGACAATGATGTTACACAGAAATAGTGTGAACCAAACAAATCTAATAACACCAGTGGTACATGAAGTAATGTCTAGAACTAAGGTCAAAAAGTGCAATCTAGGATCAGATTTTCCAACATCCACCCTTTATAGCATCAAACAGATGGAACAATATGAGTTGACTGAGAAAATGTGAACCAAGTGTTACATCGAGGGCAGCGGTGCATTAAAGCCATCTGAGTTCAAGCACACCAATCCCGCTAAAGGCCAGCGACGACTCACAGAAGCAGAATTCTTTCTCCATCACCTCAACGCCAACACCGCCACTCCATCTTACACTTTTAAGTTTCTTCCTTTTCTTCCTTAAAAGTTTTGCCACATCTCTGTACCTCCCTGCTCTGGTATGACTCTATTATGGCCTCAGTCACCACCCTTGCTTACTCTTCTCAGCCCCTCACACACATATACACATTTTCCCACACACAGCGCACATTTCACACATGCAGATGCTATCTCTTCCCCCCCACCCCCACCCCCCATACAGGGGTCCCCCTAAGCCTGAGGAAAATGGCCGTCACGGAACCCCGCTAACGGGAGGCCTCCCCCTCAACCACAGGCATAGATGCAAGGAGCAGGAGAAAGTGCACAAATCTATTAATGCTGCAATGCTAGCTGATGGAGGGAGCAGGGGAAGAGAAGGGGGAGCGGGAAGGATGAGGGTTGTTGAACGGGGGTACTGCGGTGTGAGCATCTACCCACAGAACACTCTCCCACATGTGGAGTCAATTAGGAACAATCTTGTTTTCTCCCAACCGCTGCAAAAGAAGGGAGGGTTTTCTGGGGCTGTGTGTGTGAGTGTCCATATACGAGTGTGTGGTAGGAAAGGGAGTTGAGGGAACATGTTTTTCTGAAAACCTGCCAGAGAAATAGGCCGGATATTCGGTTTTCTATCAAGCCATGTTATGCACAAAGAGCCTACATCTCACCATGTCTGTCTGCTGTTCATCCTCAAATGAGCACGAAACTTGTCACTGGATTTCAACTAGAAAAAACATCAAGACTCCAAAGAAGAGAAGGCTCGGCATACATAAATGATGAAGACATCTCAGGTGTGTGCGAGAGAGAGTCAGTATTGCCGTATACCACCGCACCTATCACTGTGATGCTCATCTGGTAAAATGAGTGCATATAAGAACTGGATGTGCTGGGAAACCTAATCACACACACTCACACACAAGTAAATAAGCCACTTCCTTGGTATCAAACAAGAGGAAGTCTCTCCTTTTAAAGATTCATGGTTGGTTCAATTATGTATCCTCCTTCAAATTGTTGTGTTTAGACACTTTCATTATTCATCCATTTGAAGATTGATGGCTCCAAGTTGGGTGGGCGGTATTGGTAAACAAGTGTCCACACCACTGCTGATTTATCTGGGCAAGATCAAAATGGGAGGCAAAAACAAAGGTCCCTTTTTTTACGTTCACATCAAAAGAACTTCAAAGAGTGACTTGTTCGATTCTTTTATGGGACTGTTTACGAAATCTCAAAGAACAGCGTGTTTCAGCTTTTAGTGCAAATTTGGAAGAATGAGGAAGCTCACATCAAACCCCTTTCGTAATCCACTTTCAAATAACAGGTAGTCATTGTAATGGGGCAGTTTGTACAAAACTCCACTCTAATCATTGGTGCATGGTTTGCTAGTAAAATGGTAATACTACATTATCCGGTGTCTAAAAATTAGTGTTAAAAGACTATAATCTGCTGTAAAGTTAAGGCCACTCCTGACCCCAGGAACATGCAGAAACTGACTTTAATTGGTGAGTGAAGAATGACTGTCCTATTTTATCATCTTCATATAGTGACACCTATTGTACAGGAGTAGGCAATGCAGAGAATGTATGACTCACATCAAGGGAGGCAACTGTTTATCAATTAGTGAGTTACTTGTATAGAGAGAGAGATTTAAATTAAAGAAATGACGAGTAGAGGTAGACCGATATATTGGTCAGCTGATATACCTACTTAGTGAGGCCGATTTAAAGTCAGGCACATCCTTGGGCAGCCCGGTGCTGCAGCAGAATTTCATTTAAATGTACATTTACGTTCCTGAATACCATATGCATAAGAAAAGCTCTAAAGAACAAATTTTCAATATATATATATATTTTTTAATTACTTACCAGTTTGAATATTTTAAGTGACAATGTGTATTTTTACCATTAATCTCTGGAAATATCCATCAAAATGTTGTTGAAAATTAATAAAACGATGTCCAGTTGTTGAAAATGATTTGTGGCTTCATAACAAATAACCCAAAACGCTGGGTCCAAAGAACATAGGGTGCAGGTCTAGCGTATTTGGGGAACGCAATATTAGACGCCATGGTTCCTTCTGGCCGGCTCGGGGTAGAAACAAACATGAATTTAATAACAAAACTGCAAAACTATTTCCAAAACCTATGTGAAATAATAGAATCATAAAAGAAATGCGATTTGTTTTGGCCGAGTAGTATTGCCGTAGTATGATGACGCCATTGGCAGCCACAGTAACCGGAGCAGATCCGAAAAGTACAGCAACAGTAAACTAGCTTAAGCATTGCATTCTCTTGATAGAATTAACTGAAGGACCATCAAAGTCTGAGGAGTCACTCCAAGGTCACATGCTTTCTGCTCCTCAGGTAACATTTACCAATGCTTTTTAAACTAGCGACAGTCATGGCAATATGGTGTAAAACTACCCCGAAATGTATGCACTGCCCCCTAGCGCCAGGAAACTACACACTGCCACTTTATTATCTGGTCACTTAAGTGATTTATTTGATTAACTTTTGTCACATGTCTGATTTAAACACTGAGCAGTTCAAAAATAAATAAGAGTTAACAGTTGGATGAATTCATTGTTCAAAAACAGATTTGGCTTCAGAAATGTTCTACATCAACTGATGTTATTCAGATATTAGCATGCAGATAAGGTGGAAAACGTCCAGAAATTGGCCATGAAGATCAGCCCAATGAATCAACAGCAGGTATCGGTTATCAGCTGACAATGACCTCTATGTTTCGCCATCAGTATCGGCAACAGAAAAATCAATACCGTCGACCTCTAATGACAACCATAAACATATCATGATGATCATTTGTCCTTTTCCTGTTGGTTTTAATCAATTATTATATTGTAAAAATACCCTAAAATTAAAGGAATAAAAAGACACAAATTGTAAGGAGACATTGGTAAATCCAACAATAATCCTTGTCGTAGACCACAAACTGCACAGAGCGGAGATAATCGATTTAAAAAAAAAAAGAAAAATATTCAATACATTTATTATAGAAGGTCAGAAGCTATTTTCCATTCTCAAAGAAAAAGTGTCCATTCAAAGCTTTATATAGCACCATCCGCTACTCTGTGTCATCTTCACCTGGTGAATTATCTACTCAAAAACTGTCAAGCAAACTGATTATTATTTACAATCTATAAGGGGGAGGGCTGGGTAATGAAGAGCGCTATCACGGTGAGGTCTCCGCTTCCCACTGTATATTAGACAGAAGTTGGCAGGATGAAGCTGCTCAGGAAAACACTAACCAGAGGAGGCCGTGAATCTGTGTGAAAATGTATGTGCAGCCTTGGTTTCATCATTGTAATGGTAACACAGGTCTCATCTATTGCAGTTTTCTGCACTGGTTCTGATTTTTGAATATTGTTTGGCTTTGACCGACACATTTTTTTACAACACAATTAACGACAGCACCCAAAATATACTTTCATCAATTGATAATTAATTAAAATCATAACAAATGTGGTTTCACAGTAACAAATAAAAAAATAGATATTTTGGTCATATTTAATCACAAATACATTAGAGTCAATAACTAACATGGTAAAGTCTTGAGGAATTTCAAAACAAAATTAAACAAAGACTAAATGCCACAACAAACATATTTTTCTCACCAGCTGAACATAGGCCACTTTGTAGTCTGGCGTTTTAACCCTCTGGTTCAGGTGGTTCCTCTTTTTGTTGGACCCTGAAACAAACAAAATCCCCCTTTTACTGTTGGCAAACAATAAAAAAAGAGCAAAACAAACTTGCAGCAGTGTGACATAAGGACCATTGTAAATAATCTGTTATTTTGACTAATGTTGCTGATGCTACAACTGATTACCCAATAAAGCTAAAGCTAAATCCGTTTTGCTAGTATAACAACAATAATATACCAAGAGCTAGAGAGCCAATTGAGGTGGCTCAGGCATCTAGTTAGGATGCCTCTCTCGTGACATTTTTCTGGTACGTCCAACCGGGAGGAGACCTAAAGGAAGACCCAGCACACGCTGGGAGGACATCGACTCTCAGCTGGCCAGGGATCACCTTGGGATTCCCCCAGAGGAGCTGGCCCAAGTGGCTGAGGAGAGGGAAGTCTGGGCCTCCTGCTTAGGCTACTGCCCTCCATTCTTTTGCCTGAATACAGGTTTTTTTTTTTTTTTTGAGAATTGGTCTTCATCTTGCACAATAAAGGTAAAACACATCTCCAGGTGGAGATGACCCTTACATCACCCTCTCTCCTGTCAAATGTCCATGAGTCTATAAAACAGGTGACCTGAACGGCAGAGGAGTTTGAACATGTGCACACATCCAAGCTAGGGGCTTGGCTACTTTTCAATCAAGAGGATTTATTTCTTCAGTGTCGAGGTAATTTCTGCAGCCACCACAATTTTGTAATGAGAAAAACTACTGTCAATGAATGATGACATAACTTCAAATAATTCACCTCTGTTTAAGATGCTAATCTCAATAAGATCCTGGTGGTCAAGTCTACAGGCCCTCTGAGAAACTACCATTGCCATGGGAACAGTTTATGACATGAAAAACAAGGGAAACATTCCAGTATAATGACTCATTTGAGAGTGTCTGTGTGTGTGTGTGTGTGTGTGTGTGTGTGTGTGTGTGTGTGTGTGTGTGTGTGTGTGTGTGTGTGTGTGTGTGTGTGTTACACATAGCTAGTAATCACTAGCCAGGCAGCACACAGCTCAGGGAAAGCCCTAAGCAGGGTTGTAAAACGCTCCCTCCACGCCACCATGGGTAAATGGAGGCCCCTGTGTGAGTGGGAGACAGAGGTAACAAAGTGTGTGCGCCCGTGTGTGTGTTGAGGTTGCTGAGGAAATCCACAGGGAAATGCTACAACCTTTGCAAGGTAGGTATACCCTGACAGGTTAAGAAAAACACACGGGACACACAACTGCACACCTCGAGAGGCACAAAAACTGTATTTTTTTTCCTTTATGTAGCCCTTTCCAAACATGCACCCACACAGAAAGAGCTTTCACAGAACACTCGCAAACGCAAGCACAATTTCTCCCATTTTGAGATTGCGGTTTGGCAACCAGCTATCACGTTACAAATCCCAGACTGAAGAGGTAACTATGGCAACTCCTTCCAAAATACCCCTGCCGCACAAGGAGGGAAGAAAGAACTGTGTGCACCCCTCACTCTCCTCAGCCTTTTGCCATCTTTATACTACCAGTGGAGTGGAACCCCTGACGCAGACAGGGATACCTTCTGACGCAGCTTGGGATAACCAGACGCCCTGAGCAGCTCTTTCTTCTCCAACCTACTCTTTCCTCAATTGCTTTCCTTTAGCTAACTATACCAAGGAACATTTACTCCTCTCCTAGCCTTTAATGACACAACTCTATTAAACCGTGCTAAACGGTTCTCTAAACTATAGGCTAGGCACCCTTCTCCCACTAACTCTCTCAATGAAACCTTCTCAGTTCCTCCTACAGGAATGGACTGGTCCTTCAGGCACAGAAAAACCACTAACAGAGTTTCTCCGTGTCATCCAATTGCATCTACCTTTGTTCTTCCACATACTCACAAATCCCCAGTTTTAAGAAACCCCTAAGAAGTCTAGCAAAGGCCTTTTCCAACAGCACTACTCAGTAGGACTGGACGATATGACCTAAATTGAATATCACGATATATTGAGGATTTCACCTCGGTAACGATAAGAAGAAAACTACATGTACACGCAGAAACAAAAGCTGTCCACTAGATGGGGCTGTCATATGTATTACATTGAGTCACATTTTTACGTGACTCTAGGTGGTACAGCTTCTTACAGGAACATGAAAGTTGCCAACCTATACACACGTTTTCATTTTTTTAATATCAAATTTATTGACATGGGAAAAATGATCTCGATAAGAGTCAGAAATTTCGATATCGATAAATTTTTGATTCATTACCCAACCCAACTACTCAGCCTAAAACAGCTCAGCGTGGGTTAACTCAGCTCACCTCGAGTGTAGTTGGTTTTCCTGATCCTTGACAAAAAGTGGGTGCGTAAATCTTTATTATTGTTATTGATGGGGACCAGGAGTTAGAACTGTCACAGAGAGAGTCCTGAACCTGTGAGGTAGTATGTGCTTATGCGGAGGGAGCATGGAGTGTCCTGGAACAGCAGGAAGCTGGACTGCTGCAGCAGCAAACTGTTCCAAAAGCAGCTGTGAGTGTTGATGGGAACTGAGAGAAAGGCATGCTAACCAATACCACAATTAGCCACTAAAAATCACTCTCGCTGCTGCATTTTATCAGAAAATAGGTATCAGAACTGAAAATTGCTAATCCCCACTAACTGTCTTTTAAACAGAATCAGTTAGGCTTAATGTTTCCTAAAACACATCACAATTCAAACACATTCACCAAAGTGTAATTTCATTTTGGGAATTAAAACTAAGATAAACGTAAAACATTAGAGCTGCAAACAGTGCTGCAAAAACAAAATATTATTGACTTGAACTCTTCACACGGTGAGATACTTAAATTGTAGTAACATTTTTAAAGAATGAGGTGGTGATAGGGCTGGGCGATATGGCCTAAAATTTCCCCTCGATAACGATAAATGGATGATAACTACAGGTATGAGTAGAAACAAAAGTTGTCCACTAGATGGGGCTGTCACGTATATTAGTTGAGTCACATTTTTCTGTGACTCAACGTGGTACAGCTTCTTAAAGGGACATGAATATTGCCAACCTGCACATATTTTCATTTTTTTCATTATGAAATTTATTGACTGGGAAAAATCTCAACAGGAGTCCAAAATTTCTATAACTATACATTCTCGATTTATTGCCGAGGCCTAGGTGGTAATAACAATTTTTATCCCACAGTAGGTTGTGAGATAACAACACACAAACCAATTTCACACACCAACATTTCCTGACCAGACGGGAAATTTCGCATGATACCACTTGACTCTGGTGTAAACAAATATGGAGGAGGAAGAGCGTAAAGCATGCTTCCATTACCTAGCTTGAAAATCAAACCGAGACCATCCAAGCCTGGATTTATAACGGCGTGTTTCTGAACAGACCAGACTGTTTTAACACCTCACACACCAGTAATATCTGATGAGACAATCTTTAAAGTCATTAGAGTAAACATGAGCATCCTTAAAACGGTCGGAAGGAAAGGATCGGATCCAAAATTGGCATAATTATCCTACCATATGAACCAGGCTTAACTTCAACCAACAGACAGACAACCTAGAAATAAAATGTTCTTTAAAAAAAAAAAAGCATGGGTCAATTTTAAGTTCTGTAAATGGTAAAGTATTTCTGAATGGGCTTGTGTAAGGCAGTAAGAAACTCACCAAACTGTATCCTGGTGCGAACCGCTCCAACTGGGACGTTGTAGATTTTCTCCAAGTAGTTCTTGATGTCGTATTTGGTCATTCTGTCCAGAGTTTAAAAAAAAAAGAGGTGATGATGAGAGAAAGGGAACAATCGCATAAGATGTCCAAGTTCAGGCTTTGTGCCGTACAGAGTAATGTGAATGTTTGTCTTTGGCCATTTGAAGCTGCAGGTCAGCATTTGAAGAATTATACATTGGGCCACTGTTCATCATGTAACAACAAATTCACTTATTTGACATCTATACAGAGATTATGCAGCCCACTTCCAAACTGCATTATCATAATCGTTGTAGGTAAATGACCTACTGTAAAGGGACAGAACCCTCCTGTAAAAACCCATATTCAACTGTAATCGTATGAACAAGAAAATGGAGAAATGTGAGTGGCAGTGTTCATCCAATTAACTGTCTAGAAGTATTGATCATGCCCAGTGAAATCTTACACAGGAAGTAGACCTGGCACCAAGTGATCTGGCAAGCCAGCCCAGTTTAAGGTAGCCCACTGGGTAACGTTTGGAACAGATTCCTCTGCCCAGAGGAAGAAAGGCTTTTAACTGCTGATCAATCAAGCCAATTGGATTAGCCTGTGGAAAGCACTTCTCAAATGCGTCAGACAAAGTGCTTAATAGCGACGCTGTGGTCTGACATGAGTGCCTCGGATATGGTGTCTTCTATCACCTCATATGTTTCTTTGGCAAAGCAGGACAGTGTATTATTCACAGGTTTTCAAAAGTACATATTAAAATAACAGTAATAGGTGAAACAAACGTTTGGATGAGGAAAATCCCATCTGTGAAAATAAAGACTCTTTGTACCAAAGAGTGACGCAATATTTGTTTCCATGCAGTACAAACAATTGCCCGCTTCCCCATAATAAGTTCAGATTTGGCACATTCACAGTGATGGAGAACAAGAATGTTTGTATGTTACTTGCACTGGGAAATATAGCCTTGGACATAAAATACTCTAGGTTTTCCACATCTAAAGCAATATGGTTTGATGAGCTGACTTTGGCAAGGGTTTCTTCAACTGCTACTATGAATATAATAAACCTTTCATTTTGAAAAGAAAGACTTTTAAGCCAATTAGTTTCTTGCTAATCACAGCTCTCTATACGTTTGGTGGGTGGGATTAGCTGCGATAAAACAAAACAACAAAGGCGGTGGTGAAATGGCTTTGCCATCAACTTTGGACCATTTAGACTTGCTGGTGAATGTTCTCAACCATTTAGGTCATGGTAGGGCTGGGCAATATGGCCTAAAATTAATATCCCGATATATTGAGGATTTCACCTCGATAACGATAAATGGACGATAACTACAGGCATGCGCAGAACAAAAGTTGTTCACTAGATGGGGCTATCACATGTATTAGTTTAGTCACATTTTTACGTGACTCATGGTAAGGCTTCTTTAAGGGACATGAACGCTGCCAACCTACACACATATTTTCTATTGTTTATTATCAATTTTAATGACATGGGAACAATTATCACGACAAGAGTCAGAAATGTTGATAACGATAAATTTTGGATTTATTGCTCAGCCCTAGGTCATGGTAAACCAAAAGGGATCAAATGAAGGCAACCAAAGAAGTCCAGTTACCTTTATTTGAACTCTTCTGGATTACAATTTAGACTTGGGCATTTCCTTGAGTCAAGAGCAGATAGAGGTACTCAAGTACCTTATTTATTAGAAAAAAGGATGCATTTGTTTCTTCTTTGACTGTGTATAGCAGACTGCCCCATTCACATCTGTAGTGGTGAGTATGTGATATCTGTTGCTCTGATTGGTCCTAGTGTTGTCCAATTGCGTGCAGAGACCGTTTGAAAGACAACTGTATGTTCCACCCCAACACTGAGCTCTGTCTATGGTTATTGAGCAGACTATATATTCACATACATAGGATGGCGTGCCAGGCTACCAATTTCATATTATTCATTACTTGCAGTATGAGTTGTTTTAGGTGTTGCCCTTTTAGTCAGGCTAAGTTTAAGCTAGATGAATAACAAGTTCATATCACAGTTTCAACAATGTCCTAAGAAAAACCACAGATCAGAAATCCATAGCTCTTTCTGCTCTCTTGCGCTTCCCAAAACTGAAAGACATTATTTGTTGTTTTTATTACTAGGTTATTCTGTCAAGTTGGTTTAGGTTCCTAAAGTTGTAGACTTAGGGTCAGAGTGAAAATGCCTAAATGTTTTATTACTTATTTAAGTTGAATTATCAAGTATTAAATGTTTGTGAGAGAGATTTCGCACATTGAGGGCATTCTATGTTGGCTGTACTTTCCGTGAAGTTCATAAAATCCAAAGTGATGCCAGATGTCTACTTAAAAAAAAAACACGCCATACCTTTCATGAGTAGCTGCTGAGTCCTCATTTCCCTGCTATAATCACAGCAAAGCAAGAATAGAAGTGGAACTTGTTCTGCTTGTTTTTGTGTTTTTAGTGTTTTACGGGAGTTGAACATAATACACAAAACAACTGTGTGACCCCATCGACCACCAACATCATGCTGCATCATCAAAGAGAATAATTTCCATACATGGAAATGCTTCAACGGCTTAAGTGTATCACATATAATAAGGGAGCACTTGTAACAAATTACTGTAACCGATCACAGTAGGAAAAACTGAATTTTGTTTTGTATCTGTAATAATAAGGTGAGTTTCCACTGTCGGAACTTCAGGGTAAATATACAGGAACTTTCTAACATGTGCGAGCCTTCACTTGATCGGGCCAGCTGAACGGCCATTTTTAGGAACTTTCTGAGTCAAGGCTAGATACTCGGAATGGCCCAGTGGAGTTGCTGAGCAGAACGTTTGGTTAACTCATGCTGAATGGTTGTAACTCGGGGGGAAATCACATCAGCAGATCTTGTCCAAAAAACGGCAGCATTAAACGTAGATGAGTTGCTTGTGAAGCAGAATGGAAGCAAAAGAAAATAAGCACCGATCACGCCTAAATTGTCGTTACTAAACTCCCAACACCTGAAAACACAGCGTTGTTGTCTCAGCGAGCCATAAAAACAGATTATTCTGGTCATTGAACACCACAATTTACATCACACAACTGTTCCTATGCTCTGAATGATAAAAAATGTAATGTTATTTATGTTACAGTGAATGCTTTTTAGCGCTGATCAGTGACATCGCTCCCTGCCGGAGCAGTCATGGCGTATGTGCAAAGTCTTGAAAGGGCTGAATTTGTATGGAGACGCAACAGCTGAGAGGACACTGAGGGACACTGTATCTCCTGCGCACCCCCCACCCCCCCCCCAGTTTTGACAGTGGAAACACGCCTATAGAGTTTATATGCCAACTTGAGCAGCAATTCTAGGAAAACTCACTGGTCAGAAGCTGTAAAGATCATTCATTTGCACACAATTCATTATTTTCAGTGTAAGCATCATTACTAAAGACAATTTAAGCTATATTCAAATACTTTTTCAAATGAACGCATCCAAATTTATGTTTAATCAAGTCAAAAGGCAAGAAAAATGCATCTCCTAAGATGTGGCATACAGATGCGCCTTTCAGCTCCATTTGCTCCCACCTCTCCCAATAACCACCGTCTCTGAGTCTGTGTGCCAGAGGGAAGTGAAGCTGAGCGGAGTGACCAGGGGTACTTGAGACCATGAACGCAGGAAAGAGTAATTGCTCAGAGACTGGATTTCCTAGAAAGCAGGAGCGGGGAACTGGAAGACAGGAAAGTGTCTTGGGGACTGTGTGGTCTTATGTGAATGATTAGAAGGAACATTGATCCTGATTAATGAGAAGAATGTTTTATAAATATGTATTGCTTTTAACACTCCAGTTATCCAGTCACCACAAACCAACAGATGGTACAAATGAATCCCAGGCTCAGCTATGCTTGGTACTAAGCTTATATTTAAAGAACAGGTATTAGTGATGGTTGAGAAATGGAAAATAAAAATGCTATCATAAACAAAAAACTCTGTTACACACTCACTTTTAGGAACGCCTGAAATATCTACACTTCCTCAATGAGTTTGTCATATTTCCTTATTTTTGATACGAATCGACGATATGTGTGATGTAAACATTGGGGTTTTCTAAGAAGTAAACCAAGTGTTCAGATGAAAGTCAAAGCTAGTTGTAAAAATCTGATGATTCCCAGGCGATTTCCAAAGCATACCATTCCTTCCCTCATATATGTACATATAGTGGGTTACACTGAAAGTGTATACACTTGCATGACAACTACCCCAAACATTCAACTAAATAAATGAGAGCTCAAAGATTATCCGTCATGTAAAAAATATTCAAACAGTCCCCTGAGAACCTCAATCTCCACAGCCCACATTTCCTAGACTTCCTCAACTTGTGAAATTTCTAAGGCAGCTACTACTGATTGATTTAATTTTTTATTTTTGTTAGTGTGTTGTCATTTTTGTGACCTTTTCTCATTAATGTCTAAAAATTTGGTATATATAATATTTCTAGAATTCATCCAAGCTTTCAAACATAAATAATGCTCACCACCATTTCACTAATGTTTGCGTTCAGTATGTTGCCTTTTATTGGAGTGCTTTTAACTTTTGGACCTGACCCAAATTAAGCTTTCCATTTTGGCTACAAACTCACTCCATGGAAAAGCATTGGGCGGAAAGCTGAGGAGAAAATGTCAAGTTAAGATGGTACATAAGACTAAACTTAGACAAAGGGTGTGGTGTCCCCAAAAATGATGCAGGCAACATCTGATCATCATCCCAGTATAAACATCCATCTGACTCCACAAGCTAACCTTTCACACTTCTGCATCTCAAGAAGAATGAGAATCTGTCTCCAGCAACTGCTCAAGCTGAACGCATCGTTCCTCAGCAACTGGTGTGTATTTATAAGCAAACACGCATGCTACAAAGATTCCTTGGCTAAGATGATGAAAGAACTCTTAACAAAAAGGTTAGTAGGGCATCAAATGACACAAACCAAAGATTTTCAATTTTGGTCTGTTGTTGCCAGGCAGGTTTAAACTGGGCACAGTGACTTTATTATAAGAAAACCATTTTTTAAACCTG